GGCCAGCTGCTGCCAAAGCAGCCCCAGCCCGGGGGCATTTCCCAGGCAGCCTCGCTGGCACCGAGGAGCAAGCAGCAGTGCCACCCCATGCATGCTCCTGCCCTTTCCATCACTGCAGCCAATTAAACCCAGATAGTGCGATGCACCGGGGAATATGCTGGGAAGCAGCGATGGAGCTGGCAGCCCGGCACACGCCAAGGGGGCCCTTTGTCTCATTCAGCACCAAGGAGAAAAAAAAAAAAAGATTAAAAAAGTCAGCTTCATTTGTAATCTGGGATGCAGAGTGTGCACATAACCAGACAGAGACTGCCAAGTCGTAAAGAGCCCCTGAGATCTGTTAGCAACACTCTGTGCGTTTTCACAGTTTCTTCTGTTCTCTTACTTCTTCCAATAAAACCATATGAAGGCAGAGCTGCAGTAACATTACGCTCCAGCCCAACAGGCTCCCCACGATCTGCGTTGCAGGTACGGATCTGAGCAAGCAACAGAAAGCTCTCCTGCCCTGCCGCTCCATGGACCACGGGCTCCCAGATGGGCTACAGGGATCTCACTGTGGATCATACCATGCAAGGAAGACCTAGCAAGCTCCCAGCATCAAAGCCATTAACTCTAGGATGCTACAAGACAGGAGATTGCTTTTAACAACCCTATCCTTTAGGAGCTCTGTCCTGCACCATGGGCAGAGGGGATCACTTCCCACAGGACACTGGAACCTGCGACCCATCACCTCTGAGCCCCAGGTACTTCAACACTGAATTACAGCATCCCACCTCCACACTATCACCTCCAAACTGTACCACGACCCAGCTGCTTTCCCTCCATTCTCCCCATCTCCCGTGCTCCCTTCCTGACCTCTGGGAATCAGGCTTTTCCATGCATCCTTGCTGTAGATATCATTCCAAAATGAGGGCACAACTTGCATCCCCCAATTGCACAAACAAATATCCATGCACGCGTGTTTTTAAGCCATGCAAGGCAGGTTTGGGTCCTCTCTGCTGCAAACTCAGCTTGAGGCTTTTCTGGGATGTTCCCCGGGTAGCTCCACCTGTCCTTACCATCAGCTAAGGAAGCAGCTGCTCAGCCTAGAGAAGCCACAGGAGGTTCCCAGTTTGCTTATTTTAACAAGGAGCTTTTCTTTTGAGCTCTCTCTCAGCCATACTCCAAATGATGCTGCCACGCGTACACAGCAAAGACACCGGTGATTCAACCACTGCACGAAGCAGCAGTAGGCCAAGCCTTGCTGAAGCACAGCAAATACCATCGCCAACCCTAACGTGTGAATAGTGGGATGCAGGGCAGGGCATCAGGCTGGGACGCTGGAAAATGGGTTTTAGTGTCTGCCTTGGGCTTAAGTCCCCTAACACAAGAACAAGGTGGGCTGGTACATGAACCCTTCACCATAAAGTTAAGCCTCCCACAGAGCCACTGCCCTGCACATGCTTGAGCAGCACGTGGTAGACCTTTTTCTGCTCTCTGCCTCAGTTTCCCCATGAAAAAATAGGGAAAAGAGCATTTTCCCCCTCCTATTCTTATTCCATCTTAAGGGGAAAGCACATTTCACTTGTGGGTTTTTTACTGGCAAAAGGCAACAGGGATGGAGGCTTGGAAGGGATCAGACCTGCTGACGCTAACACCAATGAGTAAGAAAAAGCCTTCACTTCTCTTCCCTCATCGCAACCCAGCACAAGAGCGGCTGCACACAAACATCTGGCTGCACACCAGGAACGCCGCATCTCCAAAGACAAAGCTGCCCCAGGGGAGCAGATGTCTCTTGTGCAGCAGAGAAGAGGCACACGTGGCACTCGCTCCCCGTGCCCACCCCACTGCACGCCCCCCAGCCACAGCTGGCAAACAGGAGCCCGAGGGGACCTCCAGCAGCTACCCAGTCGCTCCCGGAGCCCTGACCAAGGCAAGCAGATACTCATGACAGAAACACGTGTCAGAGTTATCCCGTGAAAGACAGACAGCACTTGGAGCACAATGTTTAACCAAAAACTCCCCAGAAGTCTTGTGAAGGAGGTGCAGACCTCTCTGACCTCCCTGAACTTAACTCATCAAGTTTTGACAAAAAGAAGGGGGGGGGGGGGGGGGGGAAGGGAAGCAGTTATTCTGGGCCTGCCCTGACCCCATGGGCAAGCCAGCCATCCCCCTGGGTCTGCCACAGCTCAAAACCAAGCAGAAAAGCCATTTTCCTGGTTTCCCATGTTCCATCTAAAGCCCACCACCACGCTGGGGCCATGGGAGAATACCACCCCCACCAATGGCTGAGCTCCGTGCTCAGCAGTGCTCACCGGGAGAGTTAGCACCAGACCTCCCAGGCAAAAGCCCCTAGGGTGATTCAACCCATAGCCACCTGCGAGATGGGCCCTTCTGAAAATTAAATCACAGGGCAACCACATTATTACTAATAAAATCATAGATAAGGAAATTAATTTGCTTTTTCTCCCCCACATGCTATCCATCTAGTCCCAGAGAGCAGCTACAGCACTGGGGTTACCAGCTCTGCACACCGGCCTGGACTTTGGCAAAGTTTTGGGGGAAACTTCACTGGTTTATGAGTCTGATGTTAAAGCAGGAGCCTCTGGCATGTGGGTTTTGCAGGCTGAAGGGGTATCAGGGCATCTAACTCTGGGAGAGGCACAGATCCAGCCCTCTGGGGCTCAGCCTGCCGTGCCGAGATCTCCGGCTCCCCGGGAAGGGACTTGGCCAGGACAGGCAGTGGGGCTCTCCGGTCCTTGGTGGGACATGAGGTCTGCGAAGCCTGAGGGCTGCTGTCCGTGCCAGAACCCGGTGTCCCCCCAGCACCGGGGGCTTCTGCAAAGTGTCAGTATCTCCACCTCCTGCGGGCCGTGGACTTGGGCATCTGCAAAGAGAGAGCCCCACGGCCAGACCCTGACAACAACAAGCCCAGGCTGGTGAAGGGAGCACAGCCCATCCCAAATCTCAGGGACGCCTGCCTTAGACATGACTTCCCACGCACACCAACAAAACCATTGTAAAGCAGGCTGAAATGCCAAAACCAAGCATCCAAGAGCTGGGAAATGCAAAGACTGGACCCTACCAGCCTGGGGAAACACCCAATTAAACAGGGAGAGGTTGGGATGGCAGCCACCTCCATATTCCCATTGCATTAAAGACAGAAATATTAGACTTTGTGTTTGAGTTACTGCTAGATGGAGAAGCCGGCAGCGGCAAAAGGGGCACATCCCACATGGTATGAACAGGAAGGGCTCCGGCTTCATCTCCCTGCCACGAAATAGAGCTGTAGTCATCCAGGCAGTTAATTAGCAAGCAGCCGTTCTAGGAACTCGCTCCGCCAGTCGACAATTAACGAGGCCATCCCTCTGCTTCCTGCCCAGCCATGATTTATTCATCTAGCATCCCTGGTGGGTCGCGAAAGATAACAAGGCACCGAGCACTTGCCGAGCCCATATGTCAATTTATTTCCCCTGCGTGGGGCTTCCTGAGTCACCAGCCAGGAGGTTCCCTGAGTGCAAAGGGATGAGGACTGAGCTGAAAGGGCTGAGGAGAGCCTGCCTTGCTCAGGGGCTGCGGGAAAAGGGAAAAAAAAAAAAAAAAAAAAAAAAAAAAAAAAAAAGAAAAAAAAAAAAAAAAAAAAAAAAAAAAAAAAAAAAAAAAAAAAAAAAAAAAAAAAGGCAGGAGCAGCCTCAGTGTTATCACAAGCAATTTTATCATGCAAAGCATCCCAAAGAAATCCCACCCGCTTCAAACAAGTGGACCACTGACCTGGATCTCACCGAAACAACATGCCGCATCTAATTAATAGAGGGGCTCCCACCTCCTTCACCACCCCAGTGTTTTATAGTACTTTGATTATTCCCCAAATAAACTGCCCAATGCAGGGAGCTGCTCCGGACCAGCGATACTGGAGCACGATGTTCTGCAGCAGCTTATCCCAGGCAATTTTGCTGAGTAGACACAAGGGGGGGAACCTTATAATTTAAATGCAGTTTGTGCAGCAAATGCTGGGCAAGGGAGAACAGTACAGGACCTGGAGCTAGGTTTCTTTTGCAGCACCAATACAAACTACAGGAAGAAATTAATTAAAGGAAAATAATAAGTAAAATAAGCGGGTTCTAGCTCTGCCAAACACTTCTCTTCCATTCTCCCAGGTTCATTAATGTCTCCAGCTTGCTCTGATTCAGGGGAACTTAGCCACTTCTTCAGATTAAATACAAATCCCCTTGCAGCAGGGCTCAAGCCACAGTAAAAGCAGAAGGCGATGATCCCAAATGCATCCAAAAGCCCTGCTGCAGCCAAGGGGAACTCCATCCCAGCCAGTTCTCAGAGACAGAGAACTTCCAAGTTCCCTTTTACCAGGCTCTCCATCCCACTAACGGCCCCACGATTTGGGGAAGCCCCTCCTCCGCAGAGGCTCCTTTGCGCCATTCCCATCAGATGCCACCCTCCAGCTCAGAGCCGAGAGAAGCACCTCTGACCGTTTCGGCTGACAAACATTTGCCTCCCACACATGGCACACTGGTATCTCTTTCCATCTCTCGCACACACCCCGCAAACTCACCCCATCAGGAAAATACCATGGTCCAGCCGGCTCAGACCAGCCCAAGCCCTACAGGACCTGTGGGATGTGCCAAGCCCCAGGGCAGAGCAGGACGGGTGCTGCACGAGGTCCCAGCTGCCGGAGGCAGGACCACACATCCCATCAGTTTTAAGAGCACAGGGAGAAGAAAGGACCCAGAAGAGGTTTGGCAGGGTGGGGAAAAAAAACCCAAAATATCTCATTCCCTCTGTTTCAAGTTGTTCCCTATCTTTAAAAACCCTCCCTGGAAAACAAAGGCAATGGGGAAAAGTAGCCCAGCTCAGGAGCACCAGAAGATCAAGCGTGGCTGGTGTTGGCTGCTCCATGGGGGTGACACTGACATGACACCCCACAACCCCCCCACCAGCCCCGTGGAGAATTGCGAATGCTCCCGCTCCCCCCAGCTGCCCACCTGGGCTGGGGGCTGTCCGGTACTTACTCCCACTCTTTCCTCCGTGCCTGCGGCGTGCTCTGCATCTTGTGCGCCTCATGCGCCTTGATAATGTCCCTCTGCTCGATCAGCCCGCCCCGCCGGCGCTTGATAACATCTGGGCTCACGGGGACATACTGGCCAAGCCCCAGGTCGAAGGTGCTGCCCATCTCCGTGCCAGCATCAGCATGCCGGGACTGGGGCTCGTAGAGGGCATCGAAGCTGGCGGCGCGCAAGACCAGGGCCTCAGCCAGGCTCTCGGGCTCCAGCAGGTTGCAGGACTGGGTGGTCTGCATCAGGCCAAGCCGGTGCTTGCGCCACGTCTCCTCCTCGGGCAGGGCCAGGACATAGCGGGGGGAGGCAGCATCCAGCTCAGCCGCCCTACCCGGCGCTGGGGCGCTGACGGAGCACGTGCCGAATCCCAGCATCTTTGGTGCTGTTGTAGCTCATCACTCTAGAGGGGCACAAGACAGAGAGGGGAGGCTCAGGGGTTTGCTCCGTTTGCCCCCCAATTCCCTCCCTTCCTCCCACACCAACTGAAAGTCCCAGTTCTTCTGGGTTTGTTGGGCTGGACCCTCTCAAACCAGGCACAGGGCACACAACACTGGATCCCCAAGGCGAGGGGAACGGGTAGCACCTCCTGCCTTACTGCTTTCCTCCTCCTTCCCAATCTGGGCACCCCTGCACCTCTTGAACCTGCAGCTCTCTGACCCCACAGCCCTCTGACCCCACAGCCAGCCCTCCGTGGGGTCCTCAGAGCAGCACAGCTCCCCGTGGCTGGATCACAACGTGATGAGCCCCCACGCTGTCTCATAGACAGTAAAAGAGGAGATTTGGGAGACCTGGATCAAACCACTACTCTGCTGCTTTTGTTATTTTATTTTTTTTCTCTTGGGGTTGGTTTTTTTTTTTTTGCTTTTGCAGGGGGTTGAGGGGAATAAAAGGGGCTGGCACAACACAGCTCAGCTGAGAGCATGACCTGGTAACCCACAGTACAGCTCTCTCCATCCAGCCCAGCAGGCAGCCATGCATTCGCCAAAAAGCCAGCCGCTGCCCGCACTCGGCTGCCCATGCAGGCAGGGGCCATGCAAGTGGCAGGCATGCCAGCAGATGGTGCAGTGCCCTCGCATGCTGCCTGCCAGGTGGGCGCAGCACTGGAGCATCCCTGGCCAGAGCAGCCATGTCCTCCCTCCAGCCCCACGCCTGCGGGATGACAGCCAGGCAGCCTGGCAGAGACAAGCAGCAGCTTAGGAGGCTGGATTTGTCAATGCGCAGCTTTGACTCGGGAACTGCACATTGGAGCGAAAGGTGCAGGAATGCTGCCAGAAACATCGCACCAAGCAACGCTCCTTGGCTAAGCAAAATAGATGATGCTCTATAGACAGGAGATGCTTATGTCTGAGAATAGACCTGAAGCCTTGTCGTGGTGAAATGCTTTATTGTCACGTTGGAGAAGCTCCGTTCAGTACGTTATTGCTGCAGGAAGGGCTTCACTCCGGCAGTCCCTGAAATTCCCTCCCCTCCCCAGCACTTCTCCATGATGGAGATGAAAGAGAGGATGAGAGAAAAGAGCAAGGCAGCAGGCGCTTCACACCAGGGCTGTCACCCCCTTCCTAACTACATCCCTGACATGAGGGGAAAACAACCCAGCAAGGGAAAGGAAGATTTAAGCCTCCTGAAATATGGCAATAACGCAGCAAATTGAGCACATCAGTCATCTTAGCCCCTTCCCAGGGTGTTGTTTGGAGGCACCTTGAACTCCTCCTCCAGAGCAATCAGGGAGGCAAGAACAGCAGTCGGGAGAAAAGCTGGGAAATCACCACACCAGGAGCAAAAAGAAATTAAATATAGACAAAAATCCAAGAGTGACTGAGGGGACAAAACAAAGCATGGGCTCCCATGCTAGCCAAAATAAGCCTGACATCCCCACGCTACAGGGGAAGGGGTGCACAGCATAGCCAGGGAAGCATCCTGTCTCCTTCAGGTCTGCGGTGCTGCACTGCAAATATGAAGTGTCTAAAGTTGCCCCAAAATTTAAACCTGCCTGGCCCAAGGAATACTCACCCCTTGGCAAGCTCTCCAGAAAGAAGAAGGCAACTACCGTTAAGAGCCTCAGCAAATTAATTAGCACATCGATAAGAAGAGTTTGGCTGCTCCCACTGAAAGCTACAAACAAATTCTTCACTTCACTACTTTGCTTACCCATGCCACTTACTTTTTTAAAAGGCATTAATTAATTACTTTTTCAATCCAGCCTTCACTACTTTGCTTACCCATGCCACTTAATTAATGCCTTTTAAAAAAGTAATTACTTTTTCAATCCAGTCCTGGGTACCTTTACAATTTCTGATTTTCCTAATGGATGCTTTTCCTTCTCATATTGCTTTGTTCATTTTCAGCCCTCCCCTGCTAAAGTTTAACTCGTGTAACCACGCCAGGTTTCCTTTGGGGTTTGGGGGCTTTTTTTTGGTCTATATTTTGGTTGTTTTTGTGGGGTTTTTTGGTTCTGGTTTTTTTTTTTTTTAAACAACAATTCTGCAGCCCTGTTTCTTCCCTGAGCATTTCCCTCGGGGAGGATGGGAGGCTTTCTTGCATACCAAGCACGAGCACTCCAGGTTTCAGCCACGGCATGGCTGCAGCAGAGCTGCAGGGACAATTAGCTAAGAGCAAACGAGGGCACATCCCAAGGGCAGGTCCAGCATGCACACGGACACCGGCTCTCCTGATGCCTACCAATGCATCTCCCACCAGGCTTGCTCCAGGGACACTGGTGACTCCCAGGCTTAGAGACAAGTGAAAAAGGTCAAGCAGAGCCCTCAAATGAAACACTGAGAAAGTTTGAGGAAATAAACAGAAATAATTAGCTCTGCCTCCGCCTAAGCAAACAGGGCTCACACTGCCAGCAGAACAAGACACGTTCCCTCCGGAGAAGTGACAAGCAGAGAAGGGAGGATGCCAGAACATTTTGTTAAGGAAAGCCGATGAGGCTACGCGCTAACAAGTGTGCTCATGGGATGCCACGCACCGCGTATGAAGCATCTGACATCAGGGCATCTGCCCATCTTCTAGCCTTTGGTTCCCCCTTTACACCGAAAACAAGCTCACTTTATTTTTACACAAAATCCGGATTAGTGGGAAAAACACCACATTTGTTCATATAATTCAGCTTCTGCTGTTTAAACGCCAGCCCTGCCTCCCACAAAAGGGAAACCTATGGCAAGTCAACACGTGGTCAGTTTTGAAAACATGGAGTTATCTTCTGATCCTGTCTGTGGAAACCCACAGCTCGGTATCCACTGGGAACAGGCCATGGCCGAAGCCGGGACCACGCAGCCAGCCAGCAGTCCTACCTCCACACTGGGTTTGCTTAATAACATACAACTCAGGTGTGTATCGGTGCCTCCAAACACTTCCAGCTGCAAATCAGCCTTCGTGTGGGAATAAACTCAGGTTTGCCGCACAGCTCCTTGTTAACAGCTGCACAGAAGATGGCTTTGCAGCTCTGTTAATGACAATTAATAACTAAAAAAAAGCAAAAGAAAACAGCGTATCCACCTGTCCAACCCCCTGCCATGGTACCGCACGGGTTTCCCACTGGTGACTCCAGCTGATGCTTGCGGTCTGTATTCCTGGTTGCACAGCCGGGACACGGCAAGAGCACAGCACAGAGCCGCACGCGGCTCCAGGCAGCCCCCGCTGCCCTCCGCTCACCCGACTGCTGCAGCAGCAGAGGACATCACTGCACAGCAACGGTGCCTTTGGCTGCATTTGATACAGGAGAGCTGAGAAACAGCTGCTGTTGTGACACATAGCAGGCTTTCAATACCAGAAAATGAAGTTTCTAGAGGCTCTTAGCTCCCAAATTTTGGGCTAAAACTAATAAGAGTGAGGAAATTTACTGTTTGCTCCTGCAGCAGAGAAGTCGAGACAAAACCATGGCCACAGGGCTCTGGGAGCAGTCAAACTGAATTAGAGTATGGATATTCAGTTGTGAAAATGCTGGCACTTTTGCTTTCACCTGCACAGTAGCTGGGAGCAGTGCAGGACATCTGAGGACACAGACCACCCAGCTGTGACAACGCACAGCTGGAGCTCACCCCATCTAATAGGGATCTCATTAGAGAGATCACACCCAGCATCCATACATCCCCTCCCATGCTGGGATTGCCACGGCCAAACAGGGACAGCGCAGTGAGCACCTCTTGACCCTTGGCCTGTACGTCAACACGGGCTGAAATGGGACACAACCCAGGGCAGCATCCCACCCCACAAACCACCAAGAACAGCTTTTTCGAGACCTCAGCACCAGCATGACAAGTGATAGAAGAGACATGCACAGGTCTTCTGCGACATCCTTGAAAGATGACCACGTGCTGCCAGGTGACTCAACCCCGTTATCTCAACCCAAACCACACGCCACAGCCAAGGAATACAGCCTCTGCAGGCAGGAGACCCTGGACTCTCACACCATACTTCATTTTTTCCTTCTAGCAGCTGATTAACTAATAAAGAGTTGCAGTGAGAAGCAGGTTCCCAGCAGCACCACTGACCTACAAACAGGAAATTCCTTTTAGGGTTTTTTTCTGTGTATGTGTTACAATGGCAGCAATCAAGTCTTTAGCCAAGTAACTATGTATTACCATAATAACTACACTCGGCACTTAAGGCTCTGGGAGAGCTCTTTGCTTCCATAATCTGAATAACCTTCACCAAAACCCCCAGAGTTAAAGCAGAAAGGCTTAATGTTGTGCTGGCCTGTGGGGGTTGATCTTCCTGAGGCAGCACAAGGGTCCGGCACCACAGCACTGAGCTCCAGCGCTGCCACGAGCCCCAGGTGAGCAGGGAGGCAGAGACCCCTTCCTGGAGAGGACATGAGGCCTCAGCCCAGAATGGATAAACCCTGGCTGTATTGCACGCAACAAGCAGCAAAGCTGCCAGAGTCCTCCAACCACGGTCCATCAGCCCAGCAGCCTTCCCTGGGGATTTGGGGGATGATTTCAACAGCAGCATCAGAGCAAGAAGCTGCTCTGATGTTCCTGCTTCCCCTTTTGAGCAAGTGTCCCTCCTCTCTCCTGAATGAGCAAGGAGAAAGCACAACAGGGACAAGAGCAAACCCCTCCGGAAGATGTGTGTGTGTATATATACATATTTATATACACATGTGTGTGTGTGTGTGTATATATATATATATATATATAGGAGAGCATCTAGGATGCTGCCCCCAAGCATCTTGGGGACACCCCGAGCCAGGCAGGGTTCCTCCGCTTCACCAGCCCACAGGGGACGTCTCTTCCCCAACCTTGGCTGGTCTCCCTGGGAACTCACATGCTCAGCCATCTCAGCCCCACTTCATCCTTCCTGGGGCACAAGGATGCTCCAAATCCATCCACTGCCACTCCTTCCCTCTGGCTCACTAACCTGCCTCTCC